CCCATCATTGGTATCAGTGGGAGGAAGTGCCCCATCATTGGTGTCAGTGGGAGGAATAGTGCCCCATCATTGGTGTCAGTGGGAGGCATAGTGCCCCATCATTGGTGTCAGTGGGAGGAATAGTGCCCCATCATAGGTGTCAGTGGGAAGCATAGTGCCCCATCATTGGTGTGAGTGGGAAGAATAGTGTTCCATCATTGGTGTCAGTGGGAGGAATAGTGCCCCATCATTGGTGTCAGTGGGAGGAATAGTGCCCATCATCATTGGTGTCAGTGGAAGGAAAAGTGCCCCCTCATTGGTGTCAGTGACACCAATGAGGGGGCACTATTCCTCCCAAACTGACACTATTGAAGGGGCACTATTACTCCCACTGATACCAATTATACTTACATCGCTGTGCTGACCCCTGCTCCAGCCCGGGCTCCCTCCTTCAGGCACAGACACTTACCCATCAGCTGTCTTCCTTCTCCAGCCACTGTACTCCTCTTCACCGGCTCCAGCTGCTCCCTCACTCGATCTTCAATCTTTGCGCTGCCGCTCAGCTCCTCCTCTCCAAGCTCCGCCTCCTCACCTGTGATTGGCCGCATGTGTGCCTTTTCTGAGCTACAGATCTGGCAGCCAATCACCGGTGAGGATGCGGAGCTTGCAGAGGGAGGGACAGGCTGCCATAGGCTGCCCAGTGATCCCAGGGGTGTGGCCAGATTCGAGGGGTGGCTTGTCATCCCGCCCACACCGCGATCAAGATCCAGGAAGATAAAGACACCGGACGGACACTCTCTGCACCCCTCCTCCAGCAGTGCCTTGTGGACCAGATCGACATGGGAAACGGAGTCGTGGATACAGGTAAGACACAGCAGCCCCTGTCCCTTTCCCACGGAAGTGTCCATTCCATGGGAAGGGGGGGCGGTGCTGCCGCCGTGCCTCCCCCCTGAAAAGTGCCGCCCTAGGCAAATGCCTTGTTTGCCTCGCGGCAAATACGCCCCTGATCCAAACTCTGGAACCCTGGCTTCTGTTTTTACTACGTTCCTGATCTATGTTATATTTGCTATTTCATTAAAGGTGTGATTTTAACTGCACTTTCTGTCTCTGCCTGGTTCATGGTTCCTGGCATTACACAAGGGCATGAATTCAGACGATGCAGGCAATGCACCTAGTCGCAATATTTTTCCAGATTGGACAAACAGGGCCACCACTTGGGACTTTGCCATAGCATTACAAACACTCCTAATCTGAACTGCTCATCTGGATCTTCCTATCCTCACTGCTCCAGTACAACCAGTGTTGCAAGCCATCCCTGCTGCTGTTCCTATCTCGGTTCAGGCAGACGCCTCTGATACTACCACTGTAAGAGGTATGACTGGAACCATGTCTTTATGCACAGAGGTATAGTCATGCCAGAACACGTTTTCCTAGTTTACCTAGTTTCTGACAGTGGGATAATGCAAGAACACAACTGGATGACTCCTGTCATCTATAACAAGAAGTGTGTGAAAAAACTTTCATAGCAGGATGACCAAAAGAGTGTATTTATTATTTATTATATAAAAAGCAGAGCCATTGATTCTCTGAAATTCCATGTTCATTTGTTCTGAGCAAATAGAGGCAAAATCAAATGTAATTTAGGCCATTTTTTTTCCAGGTTGACTGTGATTCATTCATTAAAAATAGACTGGTTTAAAAAATATTGCATTATGCCACTAGATGGGACTAACAATCAGTAAATATTTATGATCATCAACCCATCTACTGGCCAAAATGAGGTATTTTCCTGATTCTCTCTATTCAGTTTGACTGAAAAATATTCAACCTGTAGAGAAAATAGCCTAATAGCACTTAATTTTGCTTCCATTCACACAGAACAGACACCCATGCAGTTTCATAGGATGAATAGATCTACATTTTTTTTTTTATAAATACACACCCAACTGTTACATTAAGGAAGGCTTTAAAGAATGTTGAAAGTTACTTTGGAAATGACAGCAAGTTAAAGCTTATAGATTTTAGTGATTGGGTTTAGACTTATTTTCATAGACTAAAGTAATACAACACTGCTCCAGGCTCCCTCCAGTACTGCTTACATGGCCAAAAGCCAAGGAAGGATCAGCCAATCAGGACTATGATAGAATGGGTCAGAAAAATATTGCATTATGGCCACCAGATGGGGCAGACAATCATAGTATATATTTGTTTCCTATGGTCACCAGCTCCATCTAGTGGCCAAAATGAGTTGTTTTCCTGATGCTCTCTGATTACATGGCCAAAAGCTAAGGGCGGATCAGCCAGTCTTGACTCTGAACCATCTGTAGAACAGCTTAGATCACATGACCAAGTGCCTAGGCTTTTGGGTATGTGAAGGAACACTGTTAGAAACTCGAACATGAATGTTGTATAATCTGTATTACATTTATAGTACAGCACTTGTCCTTCCTTCTTTTTTCCAAGAAGAAAAAAGAAAACTCTTCTATGCAAAAGCAATTTTATTTGAAGTATTTGATTATTGTAATTTGTTTACACCAGAACACATGTGGCATACGAGGCGAGTGGTAGATACTGGAGCGTTCAGCACAATGGAGTGTTCTATCACAAGATGTTCCTGTGCTGATAGAATGTTCATTGAACAATAGAGGAACCTTGACTGGCAGTAAACATGCATCAAAACAGACACACTGGAGTAAAGCAATTAGTCTTTTCATATTGCTAATCAGGCGAGAATGTCATCTTGTTAATGTCTCGCATGAAAAGCCGTGTAAATAACACTGTTGACAAAATAATACCGCGGACAATTCCGACCAAATACAATGTAGCATGTCAGTTTTTTTTACAATATAATACTGACTCTTACGGGATCTACACAGTCATATGGGTAAGAATGCCAGATGCATCATACATGTGTTCTTTTTTTCTTTTGGCTAATAAAGTAGACGGAAACCGCTAGGGTCGAATCACACTTTTGAGAAGTGATGCATTGACGCATGCATTACCGCAACATATTAACGCACATTACACGCATTGTGGTGCCATTCATTCACACTATTCAGCTAACCCAGGGTGGGTGCTTCCACTAGACAAACTAGGCAGCTGTCTAGGGTGCACTGCCACCTAGGGGCACCTGGGCGCAGCACAGGCTGGCACTTTCTCTCTACAGCCTATGGACCTCTTGTATGAAGTCTTCATTTCTCTGCAGAGTCCCCCTCTCCTCATACACAGGGAATGATGAGGGAATGATTTTATATTTACTCTGCACAATTGTCTCACAGCCTGTCCACACATATGGGCAATAAATATATATATATATATATATATATATATATATATACGACAGTGTCCATAAAGCAGTGCAGTGTCAGCTCCCCCTAGGATGAGGAGTGATGACATTAGTCCAGGACCCCAGCAGTCAGAAGTCTCTGATCTGAGGATTGGTCCATACATCTCCAGTACACACACTGTCACACACAATCCTCCAACTGTAACAGGGAGCCGGCTAGTGCCTGAATGGGGCATGTCCAGTGCTGGCTCCGCCTATTTATACAAAGCTGGAGCCAATCAATAGATGGGGTGTGCTCTGGTTGCAGGGTTAACAGTATAATGCTAGGAGGCTGCCTGTTCTCACTGAGAGTCGCAGCCTGGACTCCACACCGCGGCAGGAGCCATGAGAGGTGAGCTGAGCCTAGGAGGATGGCGGGTCATGGGGGTGACAGGAGGAGGAGAGGGGTAGACAATGGTTGGGGTGAGGGGAGCAGATGCTGATTGATCATGTGGAACGTCGCCACATCATGAATGATCCTTCAGCTGGGGGGAGGGGGGGGGGGGGGAAAAGGACAGAGGAAGATGCTGGGTGTCTGGGGCCAGTGTAGCAGCTGAGCTGCTGCTCCTTCCAGTGTTCCTCTCAGACTCAGTCCCTTACTACAAGCTGGCTGGTGGCTGCTGATCATTGTGGAGTTTTGTAACTCTCTCTTTTTTTTTTTGTTTCTCTGTATGATTGGGTAATACAGTTAATTTATTTGGTTAATATATATTTTGTCTTTAATATTGATGCTGGTGGCATCTTATGGCTCTTATTTTTGCAAATTAGAAGAAATTTAGCAGTTTCATGTTTTGCTGATTTAATATTTTCTACTGTTTTTAAATTTTTTTTTTTTTGGGGGGGGGGGGCACAAGTAGCTGCCCTTGCCTAGAGCACAAAATAGTCTAGCACTTGCCCTAATTACACCCCAACTCTAAGAATTACACAAAATTTCCCTTGCAATGGGGCCTCCTGTACTGCACATGGTCATAATGTAAGACCGTATATTTTTTTCTACGTTGTATTTCAATTATGTCTAGCCTACTCCTATTAATCTAGATGATCTTGATGTTTGTACATTTATTTTGTGAAGATCCCCAAGCATTTACTTCCTTTAATTCTGTGCACAACAGAAAAATTTGTTTTGTTTCCTTTCGGATTCGTTAATAATTCTGTTTTTGGTCATGTTCGTTATGTCAGAATGATTTGTTTTCAGAATTCATTTTGTATATTCAGATTCATTTTGTATATATGCTATTCTTAAATTGATTCAAAATTTTACTTTGAATTCAGTATTTGAAATTCAAATTTAAGAAATTCAAATTTAATCTATTCCATTCTTTTCTCTTCTATTCTAATCTATTAATTTCTATTCTATTCTATTTTGTTTTATTCTATTTTATTCTATTCCTTTATTTTCTGTTCTATTCTACTCTGTTCTATTCAATTCTATTCAGCAGCCCAAGTAGGAATCATCACCTTATTTCATATTTATACATTACTGTATTTATTGCAATGTTTCCATTCAAATTCAATTTCATTTTCGAATTCAAATTAATTTTCAAATTTTAATTTGGATAATTCATTTAGTTATAATTTATTTCTGATTTGTTTAAATTCGTTACTATTGTTATTCAAAAATTTGGATACAACCAAATCTCCAAATAACGAAAAATTTGTCTGAATTTCAATTTGTAACAAAACTATTTGCACATGTCTGTCTGTGACATGTAGTCACTATGCCTTGTGAGTAGGCACTGCTGTGTCACACATTTCACAGAGCCTGCCTTCTGATCTCCTCTACTGTGTCTGCAGTCTCTGGTCATCTCCTGTACTGTGTCCGCAGTCTCTGGTCATCTCCTGTACTGTGTCCACAGTCTCCGGTCATCTCCTGTACTGTCCGCAGTCTCTGGTCATCTCCTGTACTGTGTCCACAGTCTCAGGTCATCTCCTGTACTATGTCCGCAGTCTTTGGTCATCTCCTGTACTATGTCCGCAGTCTCTGGCCATCTCCTGTACTATGTCCGCAGTCTCTGGTCATCTCCTGGTCATCTCCTGTACTATGTCTGCAGTCTCTGGTCATCTCCTGTACTGTGTCCGCAGTCTCTGGTCATCTCCTGTACTGTCCGCAGTCTTTGGTCATCTCCTGTACTATGTCCGCAGTCTCCGGTCATCTCCTGTACTATGTCCGCAGTCTCTGGTCATCTCCTGTACTATGTCCGCAGTCTCCGGTCATCTCCTGTACTATGTCTGCAGTCTCCGGTCATCTCCTGTACTGTGTCCGCAGTCTCTGGTCATCCCCTGTACTGTCCGCAGTCTCTGGTCATCTCCTGTACTGTGTCCGCAGTCTCTGGTCATCTCCTGTACTGTGTCCGCAGTCTCTGGTCATCTCCTGTACTGTGTCCGCAGTCTCTGGTCATCTCCTGTACTATGTCCGCAGTCTCTGGTCATCTCCTGTACTGTGTCCGCAGTCTCTGGTCATCTCCTGTACTGTGTTTGCAGTCTCTGGTCATCTCCTGTACTGTGTCCGCAGCAGTCATCTCCTCTGTGTCATCTCTGTATCTCCTGTGTCTGCAGTCTCTGGTCATCTCCTGTACTGTGTCCGCAGTCTCTGTCATCTCCTGTAGTCGCAGTCTCTGGTCATCTCCTGTACTGTGTCTGCAGTCTCTGGTCATCTCCTGTACTGTGTCTGCAGTCTCTGGTCATCTCCTGTACTGTGTCTGCACTGGTCATCTCCTGTACTGTGTGCAGTCTCAGTCATCTCTACTGTGTCTGCAGTCTCTGGTCATCTCCTGTACTATATCTGCAGTCTCTGGTCATCTCCTGTACTGTGTCTGCAGTCTCTGGTCATCTCCTGTACTATGTCTGCAGTCTCTGGTCATCTCCTGTACTGTGTCCGCAGTCTCTGATCTCCTGTACTATGTCCACAGTCTCTAGTCATCTCCTGTACTGTTGTTTGCATTTGTTCATAGTTTTTTTTTTTTTTAAACTATAGTCCGGCCCTTCAACGGTCTGAGGGACAGTGAACTGGACCCCTGTTTAAAAAGTTTGAGGACCCCTGGTTTTTACAATTCTGATGTTATAAATTAAAAGCGTATGTCATGACCATAAATCTCCTTTAAATGCTTGTTAATTCAAGTCTAGGGAAAAAGAAATATGGTATAATACTTGTTCCTTGCTCCATCAGGTTCATGTGCGCCTCTTCGCTCAGGCCCTTGGGTGGTCCTTCACCATTCTCACATTCAGCATAGGGTATTGGCCCTTTATTGTACTTGTGATGTCATTGTGTGTGGCCAGGGCAAGGAGCACCGGTTACACAGATGGAAGCCTGCTGGAGCGAGGAACAAGGTAAGTATTGCACCATATTCCCCATCCTCTGAATTAAGAAGCATTTGACATTGCAGTGCAGGGCACAGAAAGTGTAGTTTATTTTGCAGTTCCCAAAGTTGGGCTTTAACCCAAGTCAATTTGAGTGGACCTATATTGGATGACATGCAGTTTGCTAAAGCATTTGGTATCATAAATAATTGTCATGCTTTTATTTTCTAAGTGCTGCTGATCTCCTCCAGCCTCTTTCAGCCACTTTCTGTTTGGACAGGCTTCCTGATAGTGATGGATAGTGGACCAGGTTTGTGTAATGTGTGACAGCATGGCCACCTGTAGTCTCCACCAGGGGGACATGTGACAGGATGATAGCCAAAGGCACAATTGGACGGTACTTGTCACTCTAGAACAGAAAATGCCTGGAAAAGGATCTTCATGGCAGGATGGTAAAGTATTATTTTAACAACTTTGAGTCTGGACACTTTCACCCCAATCTAGTCCAGGCCAATTTTCAGCTTTCAGCACTACCACACTTTGAGAGACAATCACTCAGTCATGCAACACTGTACCCATATTACATTTTTAACCATTTTTGGAGTCAGGTAGAGCTTTCGTCTGGTGGTATTTGATCACCACTGGGTTTTTTTATTTTTTTGCTATAAAAAAATGAAAAAATACTGCAAATTTAGAAAAAAAAATGTTTTTGCTTAGTTTTTGTTATAACATTTTGCAAATAGATAATTTTTCTTCATTCATTTAGGCCAAAATGTATTCTGCTACATTTTTGGGGTAAAAATAACCCAAACAGTTTATAATATTTAGTCTGTGTGAAAGCTATAGAGACTACAAACTATGGGGTATATATTTGAAAATTGATCAGCTGAGATCCTAAAATGCCGGATGCTGGTATGGCATATGGCAGTGATCAGGACATTAGCATGAGGTATGGCGGTGATCAGGACGCTGGTATGGCAGGAGCCAGGACCCTGTTATGGAGTATGGCTGTGATCAGGACGCTGGTTTAGGGTATAGCGGTGATCAAAACACTGGTATGGTGGTGATCAGGGATCAGAATGCTGGTATGGGGTATGGTGGTGATCATGGTGATAGTATGGGGTATGGCAGTGATCTGGAAGCTAGTTTGGGGTATGGCAGAGATCAGGACGTTGGTATGGCATATGGGGTGATCAGGATGCTGATATGGGGTATGGCGGTGATCAAGATGCTGGTATGGGGTATGCTGGTGATTAGGATGTTGGTATGACGGTGATCAGGGCGCTGGTATGGTGTATGGACGTGATCAGGGTGCTGGTATGGTGTATGGTGGTGATCAGGGTGTTGGTTTTGGGTATGGCGGTGATCAGGACACTGGTATGGTGTATGGGGTGTTTTGTGTGCACTGGGACAAATGGCAGGACCTCTCTGCATTATTTATAACTGATATTGTAGGGCAGTGATCAGGGACACAGGGTCACTAAACTGGGGCACTGGGGTGGCTGGCACTGGTTTGTGAGTATATATGAAGGCTTCTGTACACTCACACATTGCAGGATCGCTTCTCTCTGCTTTCACACTGAGAGGAGAGAGAAGCGATCTTTACGTTCAGTTTCATTGTTTACTATGTGAGTGCTGTGATTGGTCACAGCAGTCACATAGTAAAACACCATGTGATTGCCCAAACACAGTGGTAATGTGATCCGCTGTGACCGGGCGATACGCTGATCACCGGCTCTGGGGTGTGCTTGCTCTGTGAGCTGTGCAGGAGCCATCGATGCAGGCTGACGTACAGGAATGCTTCCCGTCTGACATTCTATGTAGAATAGGCGGACAGAAAGAGGTTAAAGAAAACGGTGGATTTTAAAAAAGTTTGAATTGCTTTGAAATCACGTTCACATTAAAGTATAACTAAAGGCAAACCCTTTATTTTTATTGGATAGACTGGTGAGGGATTCAAGCCGCTCTCAGGTTTTTATTGCTTTTTATGTCCCTGTTATGGAGATTTACTCTCTAATTGTCATGATCACCAATGTCACTGGGAATGAATCTGAGGGTAAATCCAAAATTTCGAGTTGGCACCAGAACAGGAATAGAGGAGGGGGGGGGATCCTCCAATAGGAACACCTGAAGGTGCAACATGCCCAACTACCCCCACCATGCAGGAGTGTGCAAAACCACTTATATATACGTGATTTTGTGCTTCCGGGTATGTAAAACACTCCCTGCACACAATTAACCCTTTGATCACCCCTGATGTTAACCCCTTCCTGCCAGTGCCATTAGTACAGCGTCAGTGCTTTTTTTTTAAGCACTGATCACTGTATTGGTGTCACTGGAGATGTCAGTGACACCAAGTCATGTTTAATAGCAAAAAGTAAAAAATATTGTTTTTTTCTGATAATTGTCGACCTTTTTTTTATAGCACAAAAAAAAAAAATGCACAGGCGATCAAATACCACCAAAAGAAAGCTCAATTCGTGGGAAAAAAGGACGTAAATTTCATTTCGGTGCAGCGTTGCATGACTGCACAATTGTCATTTAAAGTAACGCAGCACAGTGACACAAAAAAATGGACTGGTCAGAAAGGGGAGTAAATCCTCAGGAGGGCAAGTGGTTAATATTCTGCACATCAGAAATACACAACATGGATGTCTGTTTGTGGCCTTTCTGTTTATATCTGTTATATTACCTTAGCTTGTGGTGCATCAGAACTGCACAACACTGAAGTTTGTCTGGGGGGTAAATCCTCTGGAGGCAAGGGGTTAAGACTGGAAAAAAAATACTTCCCCATCTCAGTTTAACAAACAGTACAAAGAAATACAAATCTCTTTGGTCCATGGAGACTATGCAGTGACGGGAAGTCCCGCTTGCCAAATGCGACACATTCAATTGCAATGCATGCAGTTGCGGTGCAGTGGTGCAGGATCTTAGGGGTTAAACCACCAGTCAAATGCCCTCTGAAAAGCAATCCACTGCGGATCACTCTTCAGTGGGCAATGCTTATGTGAACGAGCTGTATTTACTATTTTTAGATGCTAAGAGCAGAGTTTTCCTTTGTAGCTTTCCATAACCCCATCAGCATAGGGTGACTTTTACCTTAATGTCACCTGTAGTAACATACAAGAAGGTGGAAGAACCACAGCGGCCAGCGTAGAGAACAAGCTTTCAACCTGACAACCAAAAGCTTCAAGTGGCTGGGGAGGAGGGGGGGGCGCCAGCGTTTCCTTACACTGGTTGCAGGAATATACAGTATGTAAATAGATGCTCCTTTTACAGGTGGACCTTTTTTTGTGACTTTGTGGTGACAGGGACAATTTAAGTTTTAACATAATTTCAACATGAACCTTAAATGGAATTAAATCTAAAAAAACATTGACAGGTAATTTTTTTTTTAACAGAAGAGACTCTTTGGTCTCTTGCACTTGGTGACTAAAAGCTTCCTAAGCCATTTTTCTCATTTTTGCAAATGTTTAATTCTGCTTTAGTATAATAAACAATAATGTAATAAAATAATCAAGCATAAATTAAAGTATGAATAAAAGATAATATAAATGATAGAAGTCTACAGAAAAGCGCAGGTAATCCACCTGAAAATCACAGGTACACTGCATTGCAACTGTGCTGTAGGGAAACCGCAGTGGATCTGTGGGAAAGGGGCCTAAATTCTACAGGAGTCTCATATACTTTGTGTCTTTTTTTAGCAATTTTTATCTTAAATACAGTAGGCTCATAACAAGATTAATGAACTTTTCTTGCAATCAGGGGCTTCGATATCGATAAGGGGGGGGGGTCAGTGGGGTTAAACCCCAGAGCATCTCTGGGAAGCCCACCTTACAGCAGTACCTGGAGTTGGAGAGATGTAAAGAAGAGAGCTCTGGGGACCCCGATGCAAAGGGGGAGTCTCTAAAGAACCTGATGTAAAGAGGGGGCTCTGAGGATCCTGATGTAAAGAAGAGGGCTCTGGAGACCTCAATGTAAAGGGGTTGTCTCTGGGGACCCTGATGTAAAAGGTGCATCTCTGGGGACCTTGATGTAAAGGGGG